AGTGACGACCAAAATTTCATAGCCAGCCAACATGTAATACTGCATACTCTCAGTATTTCAAGCAATTAAAGCATCAACCTCAAATCCTATTTTCCAATTGGAACGTTACAGAATTTCAAGGTAATTTTCGTCCTATCGTTCTACAATAATTCTCAATATTTCCTTCATTGTTCACCGCAAGAATTGAGGGGGTAATTTAAAATCCCCCCACTGAAGATTCATGGTGCATGCCTGTTATGGTTTTATTAGTTTTTTTTCCTCAAGAAAGTAGACCTTCGTGACTAATTTACAGGAATAATCGATTATAAGATAAAACGTTTTTTAAATAAAGTATCAATTATCCATTTTTGTTCATTTGGTATTCTGAATTATAAAATAAAAAAAGAAAGAAACTCAATGGCCCACCGCAAATTTCACCAGAAGTCGGTACCGTTGAAACAACTCCTATGCGACTTGCACATTAAAATTCATTTCAAATTCATAAACAAATAGGTAAGGGAAATGACAGGCGTGGTTGGATAGTATAATTAATCCAGTAGGGGTACCTGCGCAAACGAGTACAATAGGCTGGTGCTAAGTGACATTGGTGTGGACCACAAATGTATAAGCTCTACGTCCTCTCCTTTTCCTTCCACCATCGTTGCCCTGGATTACGGATTGAGATGGTGATGATGTTGAGATTGAGAATGGGATGCTAGAATCGTTTGTGCGTGCGTGTGTATGTATATAGATACACACACGTAAGCGTAATCAGGACTACTGATTGAGACGGTGATTACGTTGAGATTGAGAATGTGATGGTAGAATAGTTTGCCATAAGCCTGTGCGGTGGGAACATTTGAATAACTTACGGTTTAAGCCAAATGTGCGGAGGCTCGGTTCAGATACCTCTTGTGGACCCTCACATCACGGACCTCTCACATCCTGATCCATATTATTTTTTTCATTCTCATTCTTCTACTCATTTTCAACCACACATTCTTCAATAAAATAATATTTTTCATCACATCAATAACTTTTCCTTATTTTTCAACCACATATTCCCCATCACATCAACAGTAAAAATGCATTCTTACTTTCAAAATGTGCACCAAACAAGGGCTTATAATTAGAAGAGTTTTTACAGAAAACCGATCTAATATGCATTCCTCCAAAATCACTTTCANCAGACTACATTTAGCCCCTGTTTGAGCCACATTATTTTTTTCATTCTTATTCTTCTACTTATTTTCAACCACACATTTTTCAATAAAATAATATTTTCCATCACATCAATAATTTTTCCTTATTTTTCAACCACATATTCCCCATCACATCACTTTAAAAAAATGCATTCTCTCATTTTAATATGCACCAAACAGACTCTAGATCAGGTCATTGATATTTAGCCCCTTCGACTATCATTACTTCAAAAAATTTTAATTTGCATATACTTTTTTAATCATATATTTATACAGTAACATATTTCACACGTAAATTCGAAATTTTTTCTTATTTTTTAATCATACATTAGATCATCGTTCAAAACTCTATTTTTTTAAAAAAAATGATCATTTTGACAAATGGGGGTTTAGATGAGCATCGAAACTAAGCAGACACTTTGCAATAAAATAGAATAGGATGCTAGCTTCCCCCAGTTGGGAAAGAAATCAATCAAAGCATCTCTAAAATACCTTGCTTGGTGTACAATCATTAGNGAGAGGTTGTAAGATTTACAACTCTCTAATGATTGTACAAGTGGATTTTTCCATCTCTAAAATATGTTAAGTCCTTTTGTTCCCCCTCTTTTTAAAGTTAAACTTTTTTTTCAAATTCATTTTTAATCGCATAATTCTTGAACTCATAATTTTTATAAAATCCATGATCATAAATTTTATCGAAATCAATTTCAATAGAACATTTTATGAAATTCACAACTATGCAACCACAAATTTCACTAGTTTTTATCAAAATCTATTTTTTATTCAAATCAAGCAAGCTCTAGATTTGAAATTTGCGGAATTGGTAAAATTGCAATTCGTTGAACTTTTTCAAGTGTTTTATGGTGACTATTTTTTCATCTTTGTTCATTGTCATTTTGCTTGGATATGCTAAATATATTATGCATTATTCTTTCTTCATAAAGAGAGTACATGACATATTTCCGTTTCGGCGTTTCTTATAATTTGAAGTGCTACCATCGTGAAAAGAAATCTTTGTATCATAAAAGACGATTGACATTCAACCGTAAGCACCAATGTGAGGCAAATACTCATTAAAGACAGATAGTTGAACTCTTACCTCGATCTACCTTTGTAATTTTATCATTTCATCTGCTTACGTTTTTTGATTTTTATAGTTTGGTTATCGAGTAATGTTTTGCATGATTTTATTTTGCACCATTTTCCCAACAGATATACTATTTATTTTTACATATAGCTGGAATCTGATTCTAACTTGATTGTGTATTTAACTAGAGCTTGTTTGGGAGGGATTAAAATCGGATTAAAATTGAAAATATAGCCGTTATTGTTGATTTTTATTAGACGAGTGGGATCTAATAACGACTATATTTTCAATTTTAATTAGATTAAATTCCATCCCAAACATTATGTTACATAAAGTTAGCAGTAGTAAGGCAAGAATCTTTATTGAAAAGCATTTAAAATTTTCACTTTTAAAAACGGTGGACGTTTAAACAAATAAACTTATCTCATAATATTATTTGTAACTCTTTTATGTGTCCGTGGACGATTCTAAGTAATAGTCTATAGTCGATTTAATACTAATGAAATCTCTTAACAAGGTGAATAAATCATACAATTTTTTTTCATTTAATTTATATTTATATATATTAAAAGTCACATGAGTTGATAAGAATGAAAACACAAGCACGACTCAACCTTTTTTTATTTTGTTTGATACCCAGGTGTTCCAATTTGTCAGACTAAATCCTGGATATTCAAAACCCTTCCCCATAGAACCTTGGAGAAGGTAAATCGGGAGATATGCCTCAACTGGTTCTCAGGCTCCCCTCACCAACTGTGCATTTCTGCGCACAAGAAATCATCCTCCAAAGTGATTTCTCCATGCCACGACTCAACCTTGTTATGATAAATGGTGGTTTGTTGGCTATGGTTGGTAACCAAACAAGTTGATCATATAATTTATTTATTTTTTCTTTTAGTTATCTCCAATATCGTCTAACTCAAATTATTTATCGATTTCACATTCAATTATTTTGAAAACTAAAATATATAACATAAAATCGACTAGCCAGTGATGACCACTAGAAATAAGTATTTAAGTCATAAAATTATTTGAGCATCCATCTAGAAAATTGCCAAAAAAAGAAAAATTCAAGTTGTTCCTTGTCTAATGGGACCATTGAACTTTCCTTACGTGCCGAACTGATAATTCAGAACATTTGTTGGATTGTATTGATGATGCTGGAAAATTGAAAAGCTTGTCACAATTCACCACCTTGTGTTGACCCTTGAAAGACACAAATACACGCAAAACCAAGTTTGTAACTAAGTTAAGTAATTCATTTGCGTTTGGAGGACGTAACATTTTCATGTGAAGAAATCTTTTATGCACATAAAAATATATTTTTTAAAGTAAATTTTAATAAAAATTGATGAAATATGCGATTGAAAAGTTGATAAATATTGTAAATCTCATAAAATATGTGATTGAAATGAATTATTATACTACACCAAACGTGGGTACATATCAAATGGATCGTATAAATATCTGAGATTAAGCTTGTGTTTGAATCTATTTTTTTGAAGAGAATAGAAATTTTGGAATAGTGATTGATGTGAGAATGTGTGGTGGAAAAGTGATGAAAAGTTTTTGATTTGTGTGTAATATTATTTTATTTGGAGAATGTGTGGTTGAAATGAAGAATGAAAATGAGAATGAAAAATTANTCAGTAACTGGGTTTTATGGTGGTCAAATTGTGAGGATGGCGATTTCGACTAGATTCCGACTATTATAGGGGTGTGTTTGAATCTAATTTTGAGGAGAATAGAAATTTTGGAATAGTGATCGATGTGAGAATGCGTGGTGAAAAAGTGATTAATATTATTTTATTTAAAAAATGTGTGGTCGAAATGAAAAACGAGAATGGTGTCGAACGGGGGCTAATGTTTTGCCGACCATGAAGGTTGATTCTTTATGAAGCAACCATGGTCGCCTAATAGTAGGACAACATTTCTTACTTTTGTAATGACGTGACATTAATCATATGATAAGTGATAACTCTATTCAAATATTAAAAAATATTCATTTAACTATTGAACTTATAGTCAAAGGCGGGTAACCTATTCATCACGATTCATTCTAATTTGAAATTGTTTCCCTTAAAATCCCTTTTGTAGAGTTTTGCTCGCCCACATGGGTTGAAAAAAACCATAGTAGAATTCCATATTTACATACATTAACGTGCGATAAATGATTTACAGATGTACTCGTGATATATGTAAATTTTATTAATTAATCGAGATGATGTGTATTGTATTTTATTGTTAAAAAAAAAAAATCTTAAATATGCATTTTACAAGTTTT